TCTCCCTATATTATCCAATAGTATCCAATAGTATCACCAGTCCCCATATTATCAGAAAATTGTCCGAAATATGTTACTTATAGTTGCACTTGAAGAACTGTAGATGTCATGCTTCACCATGATTTTGAATTGTGCTTTTATATGAAAATTACGGTTTAAAAACAACAAAAAATCATTAAAGACTGATATTTTGTAAATGATGCAGGTATAAACTTAAACAACATTAATTTTAACTCTAGCTAGTAAAAGTATGAACATGCTACTCAGTTAACACTGCTGTTAAATACTGAAAAGAAAGGTTGAAACTTGCCGATATGCACTCAGCACAATGGCTGTGCAGGGTTTTCTTTTTTATATACCCTCACAACTGCAATGTTCAGTGTTGTATGGTGATTGCACTGATCTTCAGTGATGTAGCGAAGCATCTGAAGTTGGGGGGGGGGGTGTCGGAGGATTTTGCATGAAATTTGAACTTCAATGTTAAAAATTTACCTTAAGTGTAATAATTATAATAGAGCTTTTTCTGATTGATTTCCACTGTCATATTAAGTTTCCGAAGAAAAGGGGGATCTGTCAGAAAATTTTTACATTTTTGAAGCTCCAGGACTGCATTTAATTCTGGCGTTTTCTAAAGCAAATTCGCAAACGAATTGGATTTAATTTTTGATTTAGCAAAAATAACGACTTTATTGCGCAAATTTAACATGAAAATGTCAAAATTTAACCTTGAATTTCACCAGAGTTTCACAGTTGGTTGGATCATACCAGATGTCTCACTGTGTATCTATCCCTATGATTTTCATGTCCGCGATTTTCGCGTGGCTATCACGCCAGATGACGCGTGCGACACTTACTGCCAAAATGGCGCTCACTGCCAAAATGCGTGATTGCTCACGCTTCATGGCGTGGATTACACCATAGATATAGGAGACCTAGATTGCTGACTCGGCTCAACCGGCGTGACATATTTTGAAAATCCAAGATGGCGGCTCAACAGGGCAAAAATCACAGAGCGAGATAGGGAAAAACCATGTTTTCTGCATTTTGCGTCGTCCTACAGCTTCCGATCGCGTTCTATCACTTTATTTTGGAAAGAACTAACTAGTGTGAAGGTTTTGGATGAAAATTTGTACAATCAGTACAATTTTATACCATGGTTAATACAAATTACGATTCAACCGGGCAAGATTGGGCAGGCCTGCAGTTTCGCGCGGTTTTCGTCTTTAGTTTCTTCCTGTGTATTCCTTCAGTCTTTTACGAGTTTTTCTCAAGTAATATTATATATTTCTAACTATTCCAAAAGCTATTACTGTTTATTTTGTTCTTTCATTGTTATTTCGACCAAAATACAGTATTTTCATCTGAAAATTCTAGGGCTTCTATTCCATCTGGGTTTTTTTTTATCGAAAAGAATGCTTGAAAGTTGGCCAGAATCGTGTTCAGTGTATTACTACAAGACAGACGTGGGATGTTATTCGATTTTCCTTCCATAAGTAAGTCTATGAAACACACACACATCACATATTTGTACACTATAAGTCTATAACTTACATCATATAAACAGAATAATAATAGAATAAAAAGAATTTGTTTTGTAAATACTGTAATGACAACGTCACAACAAATGTAGTTTTGAGTTTGGCAGCTACAACATAAAACAATTTACAGTTTTAATAAAAGAATATTAGACCAAAAAAGAACTTCTTGTTTTGATGTCTGTGTTAGGAAAGTCTCTCTCTCTATATATGCATGTTGACAACAACTTTCCTTGTCCTGTTCAAAGTCAAAAATGTTTTAGTTTTGTTCACATCAGTGAACCAAAAATACATCTTTCCCTTTGCACTATTGGATTTCCTATAACCAATCCCAGCCTGCTAAAAAATGAAATGGGCAGACTCAATGCCAATCAATACACCGGACGATTATACTTCACACCCGATGATTATATTAATCCATGGTGTTGCAAGGTGCCCTACTTTATTATTTTACTCTGTCTAACGCCAGACAATTTTACTCATCAAGAGGAGAGCAGTGGCACTTAATGGGTTAACTGGCCTACCTGCAAATGTGTATAGTTAACCCATTGAGTCGTTTTGTGCCCTACTTAATTATTTTACTCTGGCTATGCCAGACAATTCTACTCGTAAGGGGAGAGTGCTGATGCTTGGGTCAGCTGTCTCAAGGGGAGAGTGTCCGAAGGGAAGAATGCCGACTGCAGAGAGCAATCAATAAAATGCCAATCCAAAAAATATCTAAACGAAGATGCCGTCCCATCTATTTTTGATTATCAATGATGAATCAATCAGGTTTCTTGGAGAGAACTAGATACTAACTGTGAAGGTTTTTGATGCATACCAGACACATTAGGCAGTTTCTTCAAACTAGTTTCCATTGAAAACTTTCGTTGTCACTAGTTCTCTCTACAAACCTGATTGATTCATCACTTTTCGCTGCCCAGGCCCTATAGACTTGAGATCCCTTGACATCTGCAGCAGCAAGGAGGTTGTCAAAGTCACACTAAACAGAGCATCAGAATTTTCGCACCAGCAGACCAAATAAATCAAGTAAAATAGGTTTTAACTTCAAAATACTTCACAGAATTATTCCTTGTTAAATATCCCAACCGAGATCCTCGAGAAAAAAAGCACCCAAAGAACCAAAACCTTTATTTTCTGCAACAAAATGTCTCGAACTGCTCAACCGACCATTGTGATGATTTTCAGAAAACATTTAGCGATCGATTATTTCGTCTTTATTAAACTTAAATTGCACAAATATTCATCCAAAACCTTCACACCAGTTAGTTCTTTCCAAAATAAAGTGATAGAACGGGATCGGAAGCTGTAGGACGACGCAAAATGCAAAAAACATGGTTTTTCCCTATCTCGCTCTATGATTTTTGCCCTGTTGAGCCGCCATCTTGGATTTTCAAAATATGTCACGCCGGTTGAGCCGAGTCAGCAATCTAGGTCTCCTATATCTATGGTTCTACCCTATGTTTCCCGGGGAACATGGGGTGGAACATTATTCGCGTAGACCACGCGAGACAACACGCATGACAACAACATGGCCGACAGAATAATAGTATTGATGAGTGATGAATAATCAAATTTAAACCTGGGGCTTTTTCAAAATTTTGAAGCAATTTTGAAAAATGTTGTCATTAATATTCCAACGATATGTGATTCGAAAGAAAAGCGGCGATACTTGCGTTAATCCGAAAATAAAACATCGTATTCACGAAGGTATGTGTCAAATTTTTAATTCTCAACTTGGAGGCTTTTAATTTTCGGTATAATATATCATTTATAGACCCTCCGCTCGGGGGATTCGGCGAAATATTACCCTCAGTGTTGATATTTCCCTCGGGGCAAAGCCCCTCGGGAAATATCATCACTTCGGGTAATATTTCGCCGAATC